GCCCCCCAGTCACTCCTGAGCTCGCGTCCCCTCAGGTAACCTATGGCACTCAGCCACAGTGCACTCGTGTGTCCCCAAAGTTTCTTTGAATGGTTACTGATTGAAAGGATAAATGATTCTTTAAGAAGTGACTATGGAAGAAGTGTGCTTCTAGTTGTAATGATTTCAACCAAAAATGGAGTCCTTTCAGAACAGTAACCATGATGGTGGTTTGCCCGTCGTCCCTGCTGCCCTCTTCGATCCCCCCCCCTCCCCGCCGCCCGGTCACCTGCAGCTCTCTACCACAGTGCACTTATGGGTTCCGAAGTTTCTCCGGAACGGTTAACTGAATCAGCGAGTCAGTAAATTAACCTTTAAGAAGCGACTGTGGAAGGAGTTGTGAAATTTCGGAATGGAGGGGCTGGGGGGAGTAAGCAAAACCGTCTTTCTATTAGATGGTAGGAAAAGGCCTGAAACTATCCACGGGCCCTCTAGAATGTAGCCCAGCAAATACCAGACGGCTCCAAAGAATTATGGGATCAGACGTAAAGCTGGCAGGTCCTGATTGGCTGGAGGCAGCTGCATTCTAGTAGTTGATTGGCTCCACGGGTGAGGCGAGGCTGCGTACGGCGTCAGAAGCCACGCATTTGCGGGCAGCGCTCGGTGGAAGCCGGAGCTCTCTTGACCTCGCTGACGAGAACCAAATCCCGCCGACTCGTCCACCCGCGTTGATAAAATGAGTGAGTTTGGGAGCCATGGTGGGTTCTCTGCCACGAGTGGCGCCAGCGGCAGCCATGACAGACCCTCTCAGGGCGGCACAGCTCCTGTTCTGAGGGCACCAAGATCCAGGGCTCGAATCGAGACCATTATACCTTGTTGCGTAAACCAGCTGCTCACAGCCACTCTGGTCGACAATGTTTTCAAGGTTCGGGGAATAGTGGTCTCCCAGGTTTCGATCGTGGGGCTCATCAGGAAGGCAGAGAGAGCGCCAAGCCACATTCTTTACAAGATCGATGATATGACCACCAAGCCTATGGATGCCCGTCTCTGGCTTGGCAGAGGCAGAGCAAAGCAGGAGCTGACTCCCTGCCCCGTGGGAGTATATGCTAAAGTGTTCGGTATCCTCAGAGGCTCTGAGGAGGTGAAGATGCTTGAGGTGTTGCACATCCGGGTCCTGGAAGACATGAATGAGTTCACCTCCCATATTCTGGAAACGGTCAACGCGCACATGATGCTGGCTAAAGCCCTGGAAGCGGCCCGTGGGCAAAGTGCACCTGCTACTCCATCCTTGGTGGATCAGGCTCCAGCCTATGGCGAGCCCCGCCCCGAGTTAATCCAGGAGGAGGTGCGGCGCTTGATTCATGAGTGTCCTCAACAGGAAGGCAAGAGCATTCGAGAGCTCCAGACCGAGCTTGGCAGCCTGAGCATCAAGGCCATCAAGGAAGCCCTCGAATATCTGATGGTCGAGGGCCACATCTACCCCACTGTGGATGGAGAGCATTTTAAATCTGCTGATTGAAGTGGCGAGAAGCTTTTTCATTTTCTGAAGACCCCTGCCTCCAGCTGTGCCTGAGTTTGACCTGTTGACTTTTAGAAAGTAGGTTTATTTTTCAACAAAACTCTTAACTGGCATCCCTTTGGAACCTCACTGCTTTTCCAACTGCTTTGAACTTCTCAGTTTTTCTACCTATATTTGAAGCTCAGAGGGAGATCGCGATGGATAAATTGATTGGACCTTTGTAGGATTTACCAGCAAGCATATGAAAACACGTCCAATCAGATGAATTTGGGGGAGAAGAGTTACAGAAAAAGTTTAAAATTATTATTTAGTTGCGTGGGAGCTTCTTTTTGAAATATCTATGTATTAGGAGAAAATAGATGTAGTCACGGAGCCAGCTGAGAGACCAAAAAAAATATTCTGTTGTTTTTACATTAGACTTATTTTCTATGTTGCAGTCATTGTTATCTTTTGTTAAATACAGTCATGGATTAATTCAAATGTGCTAAAGTTAGCAATTTGTGAATTCAAATGGTAAATCCAAGTGTTTATTGAATAATTTACTTTTATTACCACAAGTTTATTGTTTTAAATAAAGTTATACTGTGTTTAAATAACAGGGTCATCTTTGAATGTTTCTTTTTAAAGTGTTCAATGGATATTTCAAATAAGATGGGGTCATATTTGGATTAAATTACTATGTGGTACATTTATGCCTGACTTTCTGTAAGTTTGATGTTCTAAAGTATTACCTATAGTCCTAAATGTTCTGTTTTACACATAACAAGGTTTTATTCTTACAGGTTAGGCAAACAAAGAAAATGTAATTATAGGAATATTAAGCTTAGTAAATTTAACTGAAACTTATTTGAATGTTTTATTAAAGTACTTTTGTAAAATCTTTATTGTGTGATTTCTCCCCCCCAAAGATGCTTGAAAAAAACCTTTTGTTTTGTTTTAGAGGATAATTTTAATTATCCAAAATTTATGTCTTCTCTGTATAATACCAATAATATATGCTATATCTTTGTTTTATTAATGCTTTTTAATATAGATTATGTTAACTACGTGGGACTTTTAAAAAACAGAATGAAGTAAGCCTTTAATAATACACCAAAGACGGTATCTTCCAAGTTACTAATTTTATTGTGTTAGATTTTTAAAAAGTATATATAGTCATTCAGACGGGTAGAAGAATAAAGCTTCATTTGTTTTAATTGGATTACAAAAAGAAGGTGCAGAAACAGAGAAAATGCCTTAAACGCACCATTGCCAGTAATCCATACTGTCAGGAAACTATCAGAATATGCCTTCTCATTGTCAGCCTTTACAGTCACATCACCAATTCTTTCTTAAGCATTCTGAGGCATAGACTTCACTTTTCTTCCCCTCAAAAGAAAGAAATGGCACCCTTTTGAAAAACTACCAATGGTTAACATACTATAAACCTGTTTTAATACTCTGTTGATAAAGGTTGCCTGCTTTGGGGAAAATCATACTGGGGGAGAAGCAATGAGGGGCATATTTCTTCCTCAAAATCTCAGTGCAGAAATAGTCTAGGAGATATAATGTTTTTGTGTGATATTACCTATAAAAACGCTGGAACCCCGAGATTAAAATCTAATATTTTTATGACTTCATAGTCACTCTCATAAAAGTCCAAGTTTATTCAATTGGCCATTGGATGGGTAGCCACTTTTCCCTCCTACTCTAGAAATACTCATCCAGAAGTAGGAAAACGGCAACTAACGAAAGCTTTTTGGGGTTGCCTTTGTACCTGGGAACTGATGTTGTGATATGTACACCTGAATTTAAGGCCCAGGACCACCCCCTCTCCCTCCCAATCCTCTGAGGGGAATGGTCCATCTATGTTCCTTAGGTATGGTATTAGGTCTGTTAATTATTCCAGTACCCCTCCTCCCCTTACTCTTCTGAATGGAATCAGGTGCCTTAATGGGATCATGCTGCAGTCCCTTAATGGGTAAGGGACTGCAGTGAAAAAATAGTAAGTAGGGCTAACGCTATGTGGGTTGAAATCAAACATTTTTAAGCAGAATATAATTGCTAGACTATCTTATACATGTCAATTTGGTGCATGTTAGGGATAGAAGATTTTAAAAAATTCATTGTAATAAACCATCTACCTGGACTGTATATTTCTTTTTCAGCTTTGGTTAGATGGTGAATGACTCGACCTGTGCTCCCCTTCCTCCCCAGTCTTGCTCTGTATGTGAGCCAAGCCTTTGAGGATAAGATACAAATACTGGGGGAATGCTATCAACTATTTGGGGCAGAGACATTTAAGCCTAAGGAATCTGAATAACTTAAATGATGATTATAGTCTACTTGGGGTTTTTCTATTGCTCATAGGCATATGAAATATATGCATTTATATTGTAGCTGATTCAAAATTAATGGAATAAATAAATTTGAAAATGTTTTCAACTCAAAGCTAATATTATTACTATTGTCATAAGTGTTAGTAATTGTTTTACTACTTTTACCTGCTAAATTTAGATTTAGGTTTTGAGTATAATCGGAGAAATATTCTTGTGGGTTTTTCCCAATTTCAGTCTACTTTTTATTATGATGAATCAAAAAAGGTAACCACCAGGAGTTACTTACATTCATCAAACCTTTAATGAGCCTACTATATGCATGTAAGTGTTAACTTTCATTTTAATAAGCTTAAATTCAATTGACTTCTAAAATGGTAATTAAAATAACAATAATTGGATAATATTAAAATAATAACATTAGCATTTACATAGTACTTATCTGCCAGCACTGTTTTAAGTGCGTGTGTCTGTGTGTCCATCCATCCCTCCCTCACACTGAAGCCTAGATTTATATTCCCAGCTCAGACCTCTCTTAAAATTCAAACTCTGTCTCCAAATGCCTTCCCGGATATCCTACAGACTTCTTTAAAAACATTAAAAAAATAATAACAAGGAACACTATGTAGCTTTTACTATCCCCCAGGAAATGTTCTCAGAACTTGAAATATACGCATCCAACCAGGTTATCTTTATTATTAGTATTAGTATTGTTCTCATTTTATAGATGAGAAAATTGAGGTTCAGAAAGGTTAGGTAATTTTTTCCATTTTAATGTTACGTGGCTAGTAAGTGTCAGAGCTAAGACTGCATTTCAGACAGTGTGTCTCCAGAGCCTGGACCGTTAACCACTTTTTTATACTACCTCACAGTAAGGACCATCTTTCAAAATACCTCCTTTTACTCTTGTCACATACTATTTATTTTGACATTATTTCTTTCGTTAAAATTTACCTGACTTAATTAAAAAAACTACTATGAAATCTTTCAGCCAAAGTATGAAGAATATAATAAAAACAGCTGTGAACTCATTACCAGTTTAATAAACAAAACTTTATTTTATTGTGTTGTAGAGAACTTAGCCATATAACTCAGATTAATTTTAATGATACTAGAATACCTCTTGAGCCTGTATTTGCAATCTGATTAAACAATCTGAAAAGTCTATATATTCTATAAACTATTGCATTAATTTTTTTGAAGTGTAATATCTTAAGAATATATATTATTGCATTGAAAAGCTTCTTCTGATGACCAGATGGCTCTGTATAGTGAAATTTGGGACTTATTTGTCCTGTCCCTTAGGGATGATACCTGTAGTAATTCAAATGCCATCCATATGATGTTTATTTTACGTTATTGCATGATAAATTAAGAAAACTTTTTTTTTTTACTCTTGTACTATTGAGTTAATTTTCTTTGGTAATACCATAAAGTTGGAATAGGTCAATGAGTAGCACTTAATGTTATGCGCTTTGTTTTTCCATAGCAGAGTTATATCCCAAAAAGGAGTAACAAAAAGAAATTATTCTTGCCCATGTGGAGCTTACATTCTAGTAAGCTTGGACTGTTCCCTCAGAAGATGACACTGGGGAGTGTTGCCCTAAGAAGGGGATATAAGCTTGTCAGGCACCGGCCAGTAGAGCAACTTTAGTAAGATGAGAAGGAAAGTTACTGTATGGAAATACCCTGAAGGTCAAGGGTTATTTTATTCATCCCCTATGTCCAGCATTTAGTGTTGTTCCTCAGGGCCTTGCGAGTTGAATGAATGAGAGAAAGTACTTGCTAATGCGAGTGCCTCTAGTGTTCTTGCATATGTATGTGCAGGTTTCGGAAAGAGGAGAAAGAAACAAGGAGCACCAGTGTCCCTGTTTTTCCTTTGTGTGGCCCTAGAATTCTTGCTGAATGTCTAGTAAGCCACCTCCAAGCAGTGATCTCTCCTTGGACTTTTATCTACCATTAATGTCTGTCCAAAAATCTGTCTTTCTGATAAGGGGATATTCTCAATCTACCCTCAGAAAACCTGAAAAATGATGGTGGTAGGATTTGTGTCTACATCACACCGCTAAATAAATTCTGGAAGTGCAGTGCATTTTCCTCTCTTGGGAACTCACAGTGAACATGAGCGTTTTTTTTTAAAGCTTTTAAATGTCCTGCAGGCTTAGAAATGCTTATAGCCATTTCATAGTCGAAACCATACCTTCTTTTCCACCAGATTTAAACCCACCAACAGCTATAAGATTTTGTTAACCTAACCACCTCCTACTTTAAAGTCTCCCTCACAGAAACCAAAAAATAGGTCATCAAACCAACACAGCAAACAACTAAACAATCTTCCTTTTGGACAGAAACGAGTAAGCAGATGAGAACAGTGAAACAAAAACAACAACATGAAACAACAACAAATCAGAAAAAGGGGAAACCAGTGTAAGAATAGACCCAAGAATAATTTGTATAACAAGAACAAGTTATAGAAAACAAGAAAACTAATCTATGAAAGGATAAATCACCTTGAATGCATAGTGTTTTATATAGTAAATAACCCTTGCAAATCAACAGGAATCATTTAGTATTGTTTTAGTTTCCCAGGACTTCCATAACAGTTACCAAAAACTGGGTAACTTCAAAAACAGAAATGTATTCTCTCTCCAATCAGGTGGCCAGAAGTCTGATGTCAAGGTTTTG